CATGACACCTATGAGGTTTAAAACAACAGACCTATGCTACACTGAAATCTGTATACACTTTTTAAGAATATTTATATTACATATATCTACAACAGGTCAGCTAACCACTTCACCAGGTAATGGAATGATTGGCTTGTATATCCCAACCATGATGATACATCTGCTCTTATTTTACTACTCAGCTGGAGCACAGCCAGTAAATATTATCCTCTAAAGAGTCAGCTCCACTGTTTCTTCAGCCGCTTTGTGTTTTTCTGACAGCTCCACTGTGTCTTCAGCCGCTTTGTGTTTTCCTTTCTCATCGTGGTTATTTTCTCTGATTCTGTCATGCCTGTGCTCATCTCTTCGGCCTTGGTAAGGACCTGGGCCTCGGTAATTGTAAATTGGATTATATCTGTAACTGTGATAGTCAGAGTGATATCCTCTGTTATGACCTTGACCGGTCCAGTACGGATTGTAGCCATTCCCATCTGCAAAGTTTCCCCATGAGTATGGACTGTCCTGTATAAATCTGTCAACAGGAAAGCTGTTATCCCTTCCATCTGAGTTGAAATTTTCCGGTATAGACCCACCTACAGATCTGCCTTCTTCTAAGTACTGACCAGACAAAGGGTAGACAGGCCCATCACTGCCTGAGTATCTTATGCCTTGAGAATACTCATTATGAGGCCATCCGTAGGTACTACCATTTGCAAGATCTACAAATCCTGGATCCTGTGGATATGGGAGTCTCTGACCATCAAATGGTGAAACATACAAGCCTGGTCCAGGCCTCGTCCCTCGCTCCCTTGCACTGTCATGATGCTCCCTTCGCCAATCAGGGTGATCTTGTCTTCGATGCCTCCATCTAGACTTGTCTTTTATAGGTCCGTGATATCCACGTTTTCTAACATCCTCCTCTGGTAACTTGAAATTGGGATCATATGTTGACTGGCCACTGAAAAAAAATGTATAATATTTCTTACAGTTGTTGAAATGCACACACACACACACACAAAATTATTTGAACCATTAAAGTGTTTTGAAATTTTATTTGCCCAATTTCTCAATCAAGAACAGACACTAATAAACACAATCCAGAACAGACACCAAAAATCATAAGACTCCTTGTCATCTGGCCTCTGACTGAAAATGAATTTCTTTATATTATTTATTTTGTTCACAGTAGCCTAAGCTTTTCACATAATCTTAAAGTTTTCCTCTGCCTCACTTAGCCTGTTATTTCCCTCTAAGAGTAACTTCTCAATTTCACTCATGAGCTGATATATGCTTCAGAAACAATATGTGTTATGATTGAAAATAACTGAAATAATAAATTTGAGATTAATCATCTGAGTAAGTTGATTTTTACTTTTCACAGCTGTAGTTACCTCAATAACAACTAGACTTAAAAGTGGGCTACAGCTAATTTAAGTTATTTATCACTTTCATCTGGAATGTTTAAGAAAAAGCAGTCAATATAACAAGAACAGACCATGAAAGAAACAAAGATGTTAGAACAATGGGAACAACATCTGTGATTTGATTTTATGAAAAGCAAAGACTGCAATGGTTTTGTCACCTGCTTAAAATAAACCCAGCATCATCGTCAGCAAGAGCATTCAATACAAGAATGGAAACATCAAGAGACAGGGGAAGGCCAACAAGAATATGGACAGATGGAGCTAAAGATTTGCTGAAACAACAATATCACCATGCAGCAAGCTAATGAGCGCATACTATCATGGAAACTGATCATTAGCCTAACAGCATTAGGGAGATAAAGACAATAAATAGATAAAAATAGAGATTTGCTAGTAATTGTCGATTTTTGTTCCACACTGTATTAAACAATATTTAAGTCTATATATTTTAGGATAACTTTATCTCTCCAGTAACTATCAATTAATCACATATAAAAGACTGCCTTTGTGATCCAAATACACTATTCTAGACAATTCTGAAGTTATGGCATAATTTCAGTAATGTGTCTACTGACGAAGAAAGACACTTACACCCTATACGATCTCAACACGGATAATTAGCTCATAAACAGCACCTGTACCATAAATGGAGGTATTTCATAGTGGCATGGGAATGGTGATGGAAGGTGCAGCTTCTTGAAAAAGAGGGAGAGGCCGACCTCCATGAAAGTGGATACTAGACACTGAAGATGCTTAGGCTATGAAAGAACATGAGAATTGGCTAAAGAGACTTTTAGGCATGCCACAAAGAGAGCGATGTTCTGTAAAGAACCTGATAATGTCAAATGACATCAAGTTAGATGAGATGCTTTCAGTAGCTAACAATGCTTTCAGTTAATGGATTGAAACTGGCATCAAACGGACGATTTATTATGCCAGGACTAGATAGGCAGCCATGATTGTTGAAAAGTGTCATTCTCACCATTTTCTGGTCTTTAGATCTTTCAGATAGTTCTCTCTTTCCAGCTTATGACCTCTGGCTTCATCAAACACTGCAGAAATTTATACAATTAGATGAAATTTACATAATACAACACAGAAAATTAAATCATGACGACAAATATGCAAACACGTCAACAGAAATGGCTAAAGTAATAGTCAACAATGTGAAAACTTCTCTCATCTAGACAGCTAAGTTACACTCGACAACTAAAACTGATCAAGTGTTACAATTAACTCAATAAAATTATATCCATAAATTGAGGTCTTTTAGGTATATTGCGCATATTTATATAGAGCAGTCAATGCTGAATGGCAGGGGATGAATGTTGAATTAACTCTACCAGACCGCTGGCCCGCTATTACAGGAATTTCCTAATCTGCCGCTAAACCGCTGTCCCTCAATGTAGGAAATTTGCGTACTATAAGAAAACAATGCGTCACAAACTAAAAATAACTAACCAATCGTAATCGGACCTCGTGGTTAGTCATTGAGAATTGCTGCTTACGTGTGTCTGGATTTTCGATGTCTTGTTTGACAGGAAAAAATTCACAATAAAACGAGCGGCTTATGAACCAGGCACTTTGACAGGAAAGTGAAGTAGGTCTAGGCTTTTCAGTCCAACAGGTTGGTTTAGACTCTTGAGGAGTCAGAATTTCTTGAAGAATACGTTCCTAGTTAAAGTGATTCAGTCAGAGTGATGAGGAGAGTCTTGACAATTATAGAATTAAAAGTAGATCGATAGTAAAAGAAGGGGGCTTGTCCCTCAAACAGCAACATCCGGTGCTCACTTTGTGAAACAATGCCGATCTTTCTGGGTGGAACTGCACACCAAGGTAGAATACTGGCGCTAGATGAAAGGTAATGTCTCCAAGTTTCAACTTATTTTAACCACTTGTTTGCATGTAACTAATATTTTTGTATATCATGTTGATTTTTCCACATTGATGCCCAGGAGCTCAGGTATAGGGGACAGTCAGGTTCAGAGCCTCAGGTCTGGTAAGGTTAAGAATCAACATCATAGCACTTGGGACATTCAACCTAAGAGCTCTGCCCCCACCTTCAGCAGCAAGCGAAGAGTTCCAATTCTGATGGCATCAGTAACTGCCTGATATTATATCCAACTCGCTTTTCACTTGAGTGCAGAGTGTCAGCCAGAACTCCTGATAACTCCTCGCAGCACCATTCTCCTCTGACCATAAAGATCTACTTGTGTTCCCTTACAATTCACTCGCTCCCAAAGAGTCCTCACAATATCTAGCTTGTCAAACATCAATTCACCTCGACGTAGTACAGAACCAGCCAGTCCATTTGCCTGCTCATTTCCCAGCACACCAGCATGACCTGGAGAAATATACAAAGGACGCTAACTACCCAGGACCTCTAAGGTGATGCTTGCCACTCTGCATGGAGCATGCTTAATGGGTGATATGGTTGGCCAAAAACATGCCCTGCTTTTTCATTCCAGGAATATTTTAACTGAAAACCTTACATTAAACATCTATCTTAAAAACAAAAGAAAGATTTTATGTAAAAACTTGGCCACGGTAATTTGCTAGGTATAGGATTTACTTTAGGATCAAATAATTAAAAGAGAAGATAATGTGTAATAGACAAGATAATACATGAAAAACGTAGCTCAAATTATAAGATACTAATTCTGTTGGTGCTACTAGGAATGCTTAACTGCTGCTTGTAACTATGAAAACTTCTAAAGTAATATCAATTTTTATATGTTAAAATTGAAATACACTGTCCCCGTGAGCTTTTGTTAGAATGAAAATCACTCAGCTCACTGTCTGAAGCTGCGGTCACAATTTAGAAAGGGCATGTCACTTTCAGCTTCAAGCAATTCAGTATATATTTTTTCCACCGCACCATCTCCACAGTGCAGGAAATGAAACACACCAATTTATAAAATGATCTGTGTGGATTCTGGGGCTTCATTTTGGTGGTAGAGGTTAGGTGATGCAAATGCGCTACACAATTCTGTGGTTCCAGGTTTGATCTTAGCCTCAGGTGAGAACCGACTATTCAGAACAATGACAAACTACTGAATGTAAAATTGCCTAGTGCAATCACAAAGAGCCCAAAAATAAAAAAATTCTGCAATGCCCTGTAAAGCATACACCATTAACTTTATAATCGACTGCACACGTGATATAATCTTTTATTAATTTTTTGTGTGCAATAAAATCACACATCTGAATTCTAGTGCAAGTTTCTCATCTGATGATAAATTAACAAAATCACTTCACAATGGAAAGTTACTGTTGCCTGTTTAGCAAACAGCTTAGGTGCTAGATAGTGATGTCATGGCATCTAACAACGCCACCTGAAAAAGCCATTTTTCTGAACACCAGCAATAAAAGCTGACTGACTGGGCTTCAAAGATGGAAGTCTGCTGCAGTAGATATGTTTATCTATTGCTTCTTTGGTAATATGACACAGTGGGATCTCGATCCCTCTGATGCCTTGACTCTCATACCACAATTCACAAGGACCATCTTTTGGGTTTATGCCAAGCATAACAGCAGTAAATAAGAAAAATGACTATAAAGTAACCCACATGTGTACTGTATAAAGAAAGAACTTACAAGATATTGCAACATCCGGCTCAAAGTTCATTTCCTCTATCATATACCTGAAGTTTGAATAACACAAATATTGAATGATTCAGTCAGCAGTAGAAAAGTGAATAATTTTTAGAATGTAACTGAAGCTACTGTTTGTGAAGTAACACTTTCACTGTGCAGGCTACCTTCATGTATGACCAAGTCTCCTCCCATAAATAACACAAAGAGAATATTACCACAGTGAATTTAGTTCTGTAGCACTGGCTACGAGCCAGATATGTGTACACTTCTTTTTCTTTTGCTTTCATTTGCCTGAAAAAAAATTGTCTCATCAACAATTTTCTCTTGTAAGAATTTCACTGTCGTGTTAAGTTCATTCAGTTGTCTGAAGAGTTTACTTTCTACTGCTTTTCCCAGCTGTTGAGGTATTGCTGATATCTGCTAAACTTTCGCTTTCATTAAAGAAAGTTAGACACATGGTTAACAACCCCAATATCAAGGTGCAGAATTTTTTTTTCTTATTTCATAAAAGTGCATGCCAAAAGTTAGGTAAACTTTTCCTTCATTTCATCTAACTGCTTTTGAATTTGCATATTTTTTTATTAATAAGCCGTGTTTAAATTATTTGATACAACCCCATCAATGCACAATATGCCAAAAATAAAAACAGGATTTTTTGTTTTTTTCGGGGACCAATTAATCATTCTTTTCTTATTTCTTATTGTCAAATGTGTTTGATTTACGTCCAAGGATCTGGAATTGAGTTCCATTGTAATCAGAAAAACAAAAACATGTCTAATGTATTTATGATGATTGTTTTAATTGTCAATGCACCAGCTGTTTTTGAAATACTACAGTATATGCAGAGACATTCCGTAAAACCCCATTTTAAAATTATCATATTAATTAAATATGTATTTACTGAAGAAGGCTCCACAGCTGCAGCAACATTCACGTTTTGTTTGTTTCTGTTATATTGTGAGGCTCTCTGATATACTTTTCGTTCTATCTTTCCCTGATATCTTTAGATATGAAGTGATCTAATTACAGTTTCAGATGTGGTAATTTAAAATTAAAAAAAAAAAAACAGTAAACGAAATCATTTTAGGCCGAATGTCAGGTATAAATCTCATCGAAAGGAACATTGAGAACAGAGACACGCAGAAGAGAGAGGGGCAAACATAGATGCAACATTAAAAACAAAATGCAGGCATTAATCAAGAAAAATCAGCATTGCGTATCATTTCATATTACCTGCATATTAGATAGCCGGTGCGGTTTACACCATGTGTACAATGAACTCCAATTATGTGATCTGAAATGAAAGCACTGCAAATGTTTCCAGAGTAAAGAAAAACATTCAAAGCAACAACAACAACAAAATTAAAGAATCAATCTTTACGTGACATCACAACAATGACTATGTATACAATTTAGATAATCACTCTACCTACACATAAACTTATATCAAATAACCATAAGATACAAACATACATTATTCAAAATTAAAGTTCTCCTGTTCTAGCTATAAAAATGTTCCCAACAGAACAAAGCCATCAATATACCTCAATATAATAATAAAATATTCACATTATATACACCTTTCTTAATATATAACAACACATTAGCCAAACTTACCATTATCACCAGCATCAAATTTTTTCACAGCATGGGCAAACCTGGAAACCAAACATTAACAAATCTGATTTTAGGGTTATTCAGTAATTTACAGTTTGAAATAAAATTACATGACCTTACATTGGTTAATGCAGAGTCAAGTAATCTATAATAATTGTCTTTTTGATAACTCCACATGATAATCTTCTGTATAAGTTTCATCCAGTCCAGCATTTTAGTCTATTATACTTTGCTTCAACCGTAATCTTTCCAGCAGTCACAATATTTTTAAATTATTCTCTTTTCATAACATGATCAAAATTAGACTACAGCCCCATCCATATGTGATCTGAAGCATGTTTTGTAGATTTTTCTTTTAAACTGAGATCAGAACATTTTTAATTCTTCAGAATAATAATGTTGCAGCAGCTTTTACCCTTATTTCTTTTGTATGTGCTCTGTGTCCATGATTCTCATACACACAATAGTGATATATATGTAACACTGTTGTCACAACTACAACTGACAATTAAACTGTCTTAACAATAATACACCAACTGAAACATCTATGCTCCTAATAACAATGTGTTACTTTTTTTTTTTTTTAAGTAACAAATTCAGTCAAATTGTAAAGAAAATCTCAATGTTACAATATAGGATTGGCTACGCTTATGTCTAGGGTAAGACAGAGCCTTTAAAAATAAAAGACCAAGAGCATATACCCATCAGGGCGAGAGAACTATATTTTACTTTATTTCAAATATATTTTAGCACCATCTACACAGATTTATTGGGTAAGAAGGGAAACTGACCAATACCTTCCAAGAACCAAGAATGCCTAAGCCTGAACATTCCAATGGTACCATCTGTCATGGAACTTCCCTTTAGGTCACATACAAACACAAAGGCTACTCACTGCTGGAAGACACTCTCACTGGGTACATCATGTCCAGGTGTGAAGATTTTCTTGTATTCTACAGCATTCTTCAGAAACTCCTGTCAAAAATCATAACGTAAGGTTTGATAATAATATTATCATTATTTTCTGCAGCGGAATAAGGACTAATGCCTAGCTCTTTAAAGACTGGGGGTGTGGGGAAGATATAAACGTTAGCCTCAAACTCTGAAGGTTGTGGATTCAACTTCAGAAAAGATTCTCTCATCTTTTAGCTCTTTATCTTTTTGTTGTCTCAAAGAATTAAAGGATGAGTAGTAATGTGAATAGGTAGCATGTTTCAATATTTTATTTAGAAAAATTAAAATAGGATAAAAAGAGACTTGGGAAAGAAAATTTAAAAAAATCAGAATTTAATTATTTTAGTAACATCAGGCTAATAACCTCTTCAGTTCTAAGCTGCCACTAATCCAGCACTGGTGTCCATTTTTATGCCTGGTAACTGCCCAAAAGCAGGCACTGCGGTACTTACTGGCTAGTCTGCGACAAGACTAGCTAAAGGTGCAGGTTCTGTCTGTTAAATGTTGAAACAAGAATCAACAACACAGCGACCGGCACACCACCATAAGCGCTCAGTCCCCATCTCCAGCAGCAAGCGAAGAGTTAAAATTCCGATTGTAGCAGTAACTGTCTGATTGTATATCCATCTCGCCTTTTCTGTGAGTGTAAAGTGTCGGCGAGATCCCCTTGTAACTCCTCGCATAGCCATTCTCCTCAGACCGTAATGATCTATCTGTTCCTCGGCCCTGTTCACTCGCTCCCAAAGGGCACTCACAACATCCAGCTTTTCATACATCAGGTCACCACCAAGTGGTGCAGAGCTGGTCAGTCCATCTGCCTGCTTATTTCCCAATACACCGGCATGACCTGGAGAAAATATCCAAAGGATGCCAACTACCCGGGCCCTCTGAAGTGATTCTTGCCACTCTGAACGAAGCATGCAAGTCTCCACTTTTCACAGCCTGCTGCTCCGTGAGTCAGTTACAATGACAACATGTGTGTACAGCTGATTCTCAAGCCACAGGAAGGAAGCAGTGACTGCCTCCATTTCCATTCTCAAACTAGACCTTGTGATTTCATATGCCAGGCTTTGTTGCAACAAGCGACATCCATTCGCCTTCGCTATGAATTCCCATGCACTTCGTCTGCCCCTCAACATAGAGTCCTCTGTATGTCACATCACTTGGGCAGGAATTGTCATGAATCTTTTGTTAAACTTCTGATTCTGCAGCACCAGCTGGCCAGTCCCTGCACTCACGTCACAAAGTGATTAGAACCCTACACAAATCTAAAACCTGATTGGACACTTTTACCCACTCCTTTCCTTATTGGACCATCATGATGCAATCTGCCTTTAGTCTTAGTAACCACATAGCGACGACGTGATAGTACCACCGAAAAAATAATTTTTAGACCCATAGAATTTAATTATTGGCTAGTTCATATTCAATGATTACTCCCCTTCATGAATCTTTTTTTTTTTTTTTCAAATTTCAGTCTCAACATAATTTAAAAATTTTTTAAAGTGTATTAGTGACATGCAGATGCTTTTTTTAAAGGATTTGTTGTCACTAATGTACGGGTTCGTGGCCTTTTCCTAAAGGGTGTCTGGAACTAAAGGATTAATATTCAAGTTGTTTAAACATCTCGGAGGCCCTCAATCTATATGTAAAAAATGACAATGCTGTTTTAAAGCATCTGCTACAATAATTAAGTTTAATTTGAGAACTGATTTTCATTATGGTGCTAGTCATCCCCATGTGGAATGCAATGTTTAGTTATTTGAAGCCCCACCCTGGCTTTTGCAGGAAGCCCTGAATATAGCCAGGCCATAAATATTGCCTAACGGCTGAAAGAGGTTTCTGGTACCTCTCCACAGGTGATCCTCATCCGCGTGGTGGCCCTATGTGTCACCGGGGTGTTTATCACTTGTGTGATGTCATGGTGAGGTATGACAAGAGAGAGAGAGTGACAACTGATTTAACGGCACCAATTTTCATCCTATACATCTAATTTTCTCTTTCTACAAAGTGGCTGGTCACCAGTCTAGAACATCTCACAAAGAAACTCCATACTTTAATACTTCATTTAATTCACTATACTTATACAATACACTGATTTCCCAGCTCCAAAGTCCTGACCTATAGGTATGATGGGCAATGACAACAGCTCACAGAAGCCAGCTTCAGGCCTCAGAAATGAGATATCTGAGAAAAGTGGTCCAAGTGACAAGAAGGAACATAGTCTGTAATCAGACAATACATCAAGATCTTAATACCTAGTTCTTACAACCTGAGTGAATCAGTCACAGTAAGATGGTTTGGACATGTATGCAGAATGGGAGAAAATCGCCCACCATGGCAGGCATGGAAGGCTAAGAACCAGGGAACCAGACCTCCAGGGTGACCACTGGTCAGCGGAAAGACAACATCTCACGGAGGACTAGAATGGAAACAAGCCAGAAAGAACACTACAGATAGAGACGTCTGGCGATTTCTCTGGCAAACCTCTACACCCCAAGGTAAAAGAGGAGCGACTAAGTAAGCAAGTAAACACACAGCTCCAAGTGGGAAGATGAGTAGAAATTGAGCACATCATCTGAATCAACAAATAAAGTATCAAATCACACAATTAAACAGATGGCTACTAAACACAGAGAACATTGAAAAGAAAACATTAGAAATCAGGCAAACAAAATACATAGAATCTGGCATGTTTGTGAATTCTTGATTAGCTATGAGAAAGACTCGGGAGCCACCATAGTGTAGTAGCTAGATGCTAGCCTTCACATTTTAAGGTAGTGGGATCAAGGTCTGATAGAGCTGAACTTTTTTCAAAAAATAGCGTTGGCTCTCAGGTTGACCGAACCTTAAACAGGTACCAGGTAAAGTCCTGGGAAGTAAAGGTGGTTAGTGTTATGCAAATCACATCACCCACCGGGTACCAACTGGCTTATAAAATATACATCCAGCCCTAAAACTCACTTCGCTGTCGTAGTACTTGTAGGTAAAAGTGAGGTCGATGATCCCTCCCAATTTCAGACCTTGGTCACCAAGAAGCTTCATCAGAATTGCTGGAGAGAATCTGCAGATGTAACAGCAGTATTAATGAACCCATTAACAGCCTTGGTGGTGCAGTTGTTGGCACTGCTTTTGCCCCATAGGAAACAAAAGGTGCTGGTAATCATTACAGTGTCTATTACTGTAGTGTTGAAAAAACTTCTGCTAAAAACAAGTGTCGGTACTGTGCCCCGTTGGGCTAGGGGAAAACAACTGGCTGTTAGTATGACTTCTTAATAACATGCTATCTAGGTTCAGTCTTCTCTAATAAACTGGCAAGTAAAAAGACAATTTGCACATAATTTAAGGTAAACTGGGTATAGTGTACCATTACAATATTTTTAAAGAACAATCACAAGTCTAAGGGTTATGACAATATAATTATCTCATTTTGTTTAGTACTTTCCTAAACATTTCTTGGTAGCAATGGAAATTTAAGCATATGACAACCAGGCAGATGTGCCAGGCACAATGCTATCATGGCTCCCTAAAACAAGTCTTTACCGGCAGCCAATTCCCTAAATCTGCCAAAATTTAAGGGGGGAAAAATGTCTGAGCATGTATGCCAGTCATCATTACATCAGTCAGTATGTCCTTTACAGAACGTCTCTCTATTCACGTTACCCCTACAAGTATCCCTTTCCCTAGCCAATTCTCCAGCCCTGTATACTTTCATCTTTCATTTCCAATGCATCTTCAATGTTCTGTATCTACGTTCATGGTGGTCAACCTCTGCCTCATTTTCAGAAAACTGCATCTTCTATCACCGTTCTCTCTAGAGCAACATGAGTATGCCCAGTCAGCTGTGCTATAATGGCTTCCTAAAAAACGTCATTACCGTTGCCTATTCTCTCAAGTCATCAAAAATGAATCAAATAATCAAGAACTGATATCACGGCATGCTAAACATTCCCATACATGTCTACTTCATCAGCATTCACTAAAGAGTCCCCCTGCGCCATATAGTGACAGCTGCAGCCTGATTAAAAGTCTGTTTGCTTCCCTTTAGAGTTAAATGTTGTCCAGAAACTGTTCATTCCTCAATGATTTAGTATTTTCAGTGATGACAACTGTCTGTTCTGTTGCACTGTCCATCTGATCCCAAAGTGCTTTCACCATATCTACTTTATAAAGCAGCTCACCATCCAAATCAGCAACAGCAGCCAATCTATCAGCATGTTCAAAACTTGGCATACCAAATCCAAAATGAAACAAAAGGACTTTAATACCCAGCAATGACAAAACATGAAAAAAATTAAATAATAACGACAGCAGCAGTGTAAATTATACATACTTGTCTTTCTCCTTAACCTCCTTTAGCAACTCCTGAAATGAAACGTATGAAAGAATATCAGTTGTCATGGGACTCTCCATCCAAATGTTTAAAGATATCTTTAATAACATGTTCCTAAAAAATATTATCTCCGCCGTGGTGCCAAAAGTTTCCCAATGCCTTTCCACTGTCAACTTAAATTAGGAATTTACTTCACAGCCCAGTGGACACACCTATAAGCGCTCCATCCCTATCTTCAGCAGCAAACGAAGAGTTCTAAATCTGACTGTACCAGTAACTGTCTGTATATCCACTTATCTTGCCCTTCCCTTAAGAACTGAGCGTCGGCCAGATCCCCTGGTAACTCCCCACAGCTTCATTGTCCTCAGACCCTATTGATCTATTTGTGCCTTGCACTTTTTACTCACTCCCAAAAGGCCCTCACAACATCTAGCTTGTTATACATCAATTCACCACTAAGTGGTGCTAAACCAGCCAGTCTATCTGCTCATTTCCCAACACATCCGCATCACCTGGAGAAAATATCCAAAGGACGCTAACTAACCAGGACATTTAAAGTGATGCTTGCCACTCTGCACCGAGCATGCCTGTCTCCACCTTTCTCAATAAGCTCTGTCAGTTACAATCATGGCATGTGTGTACAGTTGATTCTCAAGCCAGCGGAAGGCAGCAGTGACTACCTCTACCTCCATTCTCAAACTAGACGTTGTGATATCATATGTCAGACTTTGCTGCACTCAGCGATGTCAATTTGCTATGAACCCCCATGCACTTCGTCTGCCCCTCAATACAGAGCCATCTGTAAAGATCAGTGGTTCTTAACCTTCCTAATGCAGTGACCCTTTAATACAGTTCATGTTGTGGCGACCCCCAACCATGCAATTATTTTCGTCACTACTTCATAACTTCAATTAATATTTGTTTTGCGATTGTCTTCGGCGACCCATTTAAAAGGGTCATTTGACCCAAAAAGGGCAGCAACACAAAGGTTGACAGCCGCTGGTATAGATAATCACATCAACTGGGCGGGAATTGTTGTACTTCTGATTCTGCAGAACAAGCTGGCTAGTCCGTGCATTCATGACCTAAAGTAATAAGAACCCTACATAAGTCTGAAACTTGCTAAGACACTTTGACCCTCCTTGCCCAAAAGTATCAAGCATGCACACATGTCTAATTGTGACTTCAGCTTGCGCCATCCAAGACCTTCCTCTTTTCAGTCTGTGTCCCTTAGCTCTACCCAGGGCTTCATGCAGGAGGTGATTCTTGTCTGCAGCTACTCTGAGATATGACTTGACTTGCAAACTTTTAGCCTATCTGCAACAGTAGGCAGTGCAAGTAAATACTGCATACATACTGCCAGGGTATCTCTTGTACATCCCAGAATTACAGACAAAGCTTTATTCTGTATGTGTTCAAGTTTCATCAGCTGACTCTTTGACATGGTAAGCATTCTAAGACCATAATCTATCACCGACAGGATCACTAGGACCAGCATTCTTTGTTTCATGTCCACTGCTGCTATTATCTTGAGATCATTCAGTCTTTTTTTTTGGCATTTCACCACAATTGCCTCCACATCATCCCTAAAGGACAAGCTTTTATCGAAAAGGATACCCAGGTACCTCTGTTTGCTTTCTCTTTTGATGTTCCTGTTATTAACTGTGAGGCTTGGAACATCAGCTCTTACAATTATATTGTCCAGAGAGCACCATAAAAAAGTCGTCTTTTCTGAATTAATGACAGCACCCACTTAAGAATACCAGTTAGTCACTTTGTCTACAGTTGCCTGCAGCTCTTGGATTATCTGTTGCCTATCACTCCCCTGCCTATATGCAAGAACATCATCTGCAATGGTCAATATCCCTCCAACACCTGGTGCTTCAAGTTCTGTAATCTTGCTTGTATATTTATTGGAGAAAACTACGAAATTAACACTATGAAATTGCAGAACACTGGGGTAGTCCCAAGGCGATTTTACATGGTTCTAATGTCCATAAACCGAGTGTAACTTAAATAATAGAGACAAATGATTCAGGCTCATTTTGAAAACCGATATCAGCTCCCAAGCTGAGTGACTAGTAACTGTGTAAATCATTCTCTAATAGATTTCTTATCTCTTGAGCAGATGATAACAGACAGCGTACTTCTTCATCTTCTTAGCAGAAAGTTATGGCTGTTCGTCCACTTCTGGACTCTGGTCTTGTTCCAGAACCTGATTTATGCCTGCACATCCATTTTGCAGATGTGGTTCATTAATATGCAGACTGTTTGTTGGTTCCCAACCACTCATTTAGCTGCACTTTGACTTCTTAGCTAAAACTCTAATTAGTTGTCTTTTATGACATGCTTGTTAAGGGGGAACAGAGGGTCTATTCCCCCCCCCCCCCACCAAATGTAGTTCTGGAACCCACACAGGCAATACAGTGTACAAACAAGACAGAAGAAATGTTGGAGATCTATTATGCCAACCTTCAATGCACATACACCATCTGACTGAAACTACCCAACTACACTTAGTGATGCAATGAGAATAACTCCTGATCTACATCTAAGAATAAATGCCTAATAAAGCGTTCAGAAGCTTCCTGGACAAAAATTCAAGTGTGTCAGACTTTGCAACAAACAAATCATTAACAAATAGTTACCTCTTTGAGAGGAACTTTGAAAGCCACAAATTTGGTTCCAGGTATAACTGAACCCATAGGGCGGTAGACTTCCCATCTAAGAAAAAAGAAACCATTTAAATCATTTGCAACATATAATGCAAAAACTGTCACATGAACTTTAATACATGTTTATGAAACTTTCTCTAGTTGCCTCAGCAAAATGTTTGAGGAAGACGTAATAAATGCTCATCTTTCTTGTGCACACTGTTTGATAAGTATATCAGTATACTTCAAAGTCAAAGGTAGTTCTTAACAAACATCTGTTTAACTTGGCTCTCTCTCTCTCTTTCGAAAACAGTTACACTAAGCAACACACATACATCAAGCCATTACGGTGTTAATGTAATCAAATGGCCGCTGAAGACACATAGTGCCCCCTGACAAAGAAATAAAAACTGCACTACGGAATTCACCTGACATGTGCATATGTTAAGTAAAAATTTATGATTATTTCAATATTGAAATATAACCAGAATCTATTATGGCTATCCTCTGAATAACGGTCCCAAATTAATGAGGCCGAAAACATACCCTAACAGGGCCTCAGTCACATGTAAATTGCAGAACTCTTTCCGGCGACTACACAGCATACCGCGGAAAAGCTTCCGCCAAGTTAAAATCACTGGCAAAAGTATTTCCCGAGCCACTAAACTAGATGGCTGGGACTCACGAGCAGTAGCTACGACATCTCCTACAGCCTCCTTCATTTTATTTGCTCGTGAACTCCATCCATCTAGTTTAGCCACACTCTGCGCCGAGGGAGATAACTCTCGGCAGTGGCGGTATAGTCGCCGGAAAGAAGTCCGCAATTTACATGTGACTGAGACCCTGTTAGGGTGTATTTTCAGCCTCGATAATATAGGACTGTTATTCGAAGGATAGTCTCTATTACTTATTTTCTCACTATACTTAACTAAATATATAAACTACAAGGGCCACAATTTCATATGTGGTCTATCCTCTGAATAACGGTCCCAAATTATCGAGGCTGAAAATATACCCTAACATGGCCTCAGTCACGTGTCATTGCGCACTTCTGGCGACTTAAATTGCGCACTTCCGCCACCGCCGAGTTTCCCCCACACCGCTCACGTGGTGTGGATTGGGGCTAAACTAGATGGCTGGGACTCATGAGCAGCAGCTACCGCATCTCCTGCAGCTTCCTTCATTTTATTTATTTGTGAGTCCCAGCCATCAAGTTTAGCCCCAATCCACGCCGCGTGAGTGGCGTGGGGGATACTCTCGACGATGGCAGTATAGTCTCTGGAAGTTCGCAATTCGGGGGTGGCGGTATAGTCCCCGGAAGTGCGCAATTGACAGTCACTGAGGCCCTGTTAGGGTATATTCTCAGCCTCGTTAATTTGGGACCGTTATTCAGAGGATAGCCCATATGTGTATTGATCTCCACTGTTCTTCTAAAAGGTAAGCATAACCTAGTAAAAAAAGTTTAGTTGTGCTTACCTTTTAGAAGAACACTGTAACCAAAGTACCTTATACAATAATGCACCTAAATTCTTCTTGGGAATCAGCGTATGGCCGTATGCTGGTTAAATCTTCGATATGATGTTTGACAGGTAAGAATGACTGCTGACTGCCATTTATTTTATTCACTGCCAGTGTGGGTTCAGGGGCCTCATTATGGGGGGAAAGAAGGACAGACCCACTGCCTCTCCAATAAGTAAGCATGTTGTAACTAACTAGGGATTTCCTTCGAAGTCGGAGTGCATTTGTTTGCTGCCTTTTTAACTTTTAAAGGAAATATTGAATAAACCAAGTTTACATACAAATAAGACAGTCAACTCTGTAAAAACAGTTGTGCACGCAACATTCAAAACAAGTCTAAAGTCTAGAGGTGGATGAACAACCAGAACTTTCCACCGGAGTTTACAACCGGTGAACGCCAAGTCTAAGAAGAACATTTTATTCATAAATGATTAAATCTGAAGCTAAGCTAAGCGGTGAAGTGGAAAACCGAACGGAAGAAAGGTGAAAGAAAAAAGAACCAATCTTGAGAAGAAACTGAAACTATGGCACTAAAAGAAAAAAACTATTATATTCTAAAATGTTCTTCATAGATTTTATAACATTATGGGAAAATAAGAATATAGCACGACACACACCTGTCCGGGGGAGGCATTCTTTTTCCTATAACATGAATTAATCTTCTGATGAAGAACGTCATCGACGATCAATGTGGGATACAGAAACCGGAAGTTGCTGGTAGATTGTGTAAGTTACCTCCTTTACAAAAGTTTCCAAGAAACAAAACATTGAAACTGAAAGAAATGGACTTGGCTGGGCGCTATCGATATTTAGAGCTAGTACTCACCGAAACGTGTCTAAAAAAGCACGGGTCACAAATAAACTGGCATTAATGTCCTTGTTAACCACTTTTCGGTAGCGGGGGGGGGGGGGGGGGGCTTTGAGCCCAAGGATTTAAGGCCGCAAGGCTATTTATGTTATCACAATTGTCACTGTACACTGAGCATTCCCAAGCGTGCTCAGTCCTCCGATGCGGCAGCCAATGTACTTCAACTAGTTGTTCCCACGAGAAGCTGGTTATAATATCTCCTCTCTCGGCTTTGAAGGCGGCATAGACTTGCTTCACCATGCTTTACTCCAATGTCCCACAATCGTGTTAGTATCAGAGATTGGTCATTATCCACTAGTCCAGTCCGTGAAGAATTACTGGTATCTGCTCTATTCATACTTCTTCCTACCTGCGTTAGTGCATTGCCTGCCAGTTGGTCCACTCGCTCATTACCATTTAGGCCAGCTGGACGAGGTGTGTAGATCCAGATGAGGAAAGTTAAGAGTGATTTTCGAATGCTTTCCACCCCTTCAGAACGCATACCGCCTGTTGCTATCTTCTGAAGCGTGTTCACGGAGTGATAAAATTACTGCCTGCGTGGTTGTTTGATCTGCTGTCCATGCTAGTGCTCTAGAAGCAGCGGCTATATCCATGATAATGCTTGACGTGGCTGCTTGGTAAGCACCGCCGTCCTCTTGTATCGTTGTCCCCATTCTTTGAGCTGTGGATGCCCATGCTGACCTTGATACGCGCTTTACGGATCCATCTATGTCAATGATGGTATCTTCTGGATGTGCATGCCGAATGCAAGGCTAGTGCTGTCGCCGTGGACTTTGCAGATTGTTGGCATCTTTCCGTCTTTCCAGACATAATATTGTTCTATTAGTAGGCATGGATCACAGCCCATGCCGATGGCAGTTGTGACTAGCAAGACACGCCTGGGTTAAGAAAAGTCTTCCACAATTATAGATACCATAGGGTGTCAGGGCCGTTTCTACTATAATCTGTATTCAGCATGTCTCTCCTCAGGCGCTCAGCTGTAACTCTCACCATTTATGCAGTCATTTCTCCATAGGCGCTCAGCTCTAGTAGCTCTCACCATTTGTGCAATCATTTCTCATCAGGCGCTCAGCTCTAGCTCTCACCATTTGTGCAATTATTTCTCCTCAGGAGCTCATCTCTAGATCTCACCATTTGTGCAATCATTTCTCTTCAGGAGCTCATCTTTAGCTGTCACTATTTGTGCAATCATTTCTACTCAGGCGCTCAGCTCTAGCTCTCACCATTTGTGCAATCATTTCTCCTCAGGAGCTCATTTCTAGCTCTCACCATTTGTGCAGTCATTTCTCCTTTTATGCATATCCCCTTCCGGATGTGCACCCTCCACGCAACACGGTTCATGGCATTGTTTCCAAGAATCTGCCTCAATACTGGTATCATTCATGACCCGATTTCAGACATCTTTATATCGTGGCAGAGGCCAGCTTCCGGTAAACCAGTATTCATCACAACGAGGAGCAGCTCGCCTACGGTCCGGAAGGCGTGGGTTGGGGGGTCCTACGAGGTCGGACTTTTTTCTTCAGAAAATGACATTGGCTTCTAGTTCGACCCAGCCCTAAATGGGTACCAGGTGTAGTGCTGGGAAGTAAAGATGGCCAGGTTGATGTTGACCACATCACCCATCTAGTTCGGATCGGTCTTTTAAAAAAAAAATGTCTAGCCCTATATGCTAAAGACGTGGAAAAACGTCCTTTAATGTACTATTCTCTAAATGTCTTTATTGATAATGTTAAACCTTTTTGTTACCGTGGAAGCTCTTCCAAAAAATCTTAACTGGGTTGTTATGATTTTGTGATTGTTAATTTTAGTAACTTCGTAATTGTTTGATTCCGTTAGCAAAAAGTCCCTCCCCCATCCCCCCTCCCACCCCTCCCCTTTTCCCCACATAAAAAAGTTCTTATGAGATTTGATTATAATCCAGATTCAAAATTAGCTAGGTGTCAGGCCTAGAAGACAAACCGTTGAAACAAATCAATCAAAATCAGGACAAAAAAATAGCAACCAAAAACTTTTTGCTGTTAGGACACGCGAATCAGATGAGAAAGTTCTAAAGCAGCTATGGACCTCAGATTATTGTCTTTTAATAAGGTATTGGGACCCTGAAAACCGCAATAGAAATGTGATTAACAGATACACAAACAAGAGAAACACTAGTACTTTCAACGTTTGTGATCAGCTGTTTCAGTGAAACAGATGCCGTCTCCATCATAAAGATTAGTTTTCATGGACATCCAACACTCTCTCGGCTTAGTTCACTTTGCCAGATTGCTGTTTGTCCATTTCTTCATGTTGTCATTTGCTATTTTTTCAGTATATTTTCCCCAGTGTTACTGCGTCACTTGGGGTACATTCCTCTTCATCATCATGTAGCAGGTCCTTTGCAGAACGTTGCTCTCATCACAGTCTGCCTGAAAGAAACTCAGTCTCTCGCCAGTTCTACCGCCTCATGCACTTTCACACCCATGGAGTCACTTATATCCTGTGCATATCGTCCTGTCGGTCGGCTCCTGCCCCTACCTCCTGGTTCTAAGTCTTCTGCTGTAATTTTTTTCCAATCCGTCGTGGCGCTTGATATGACCAAAATATTTCAGCTTTCGAGAAAGGATGCTGTTTATTAGAAGTTTATTAGACATTCCTCTCAGTAAACATAAATGCTGGCGTAAGTCAAAAGACTAATTCTGGAAACAAAGAGCCCTTTCTTGTTGATTTAAGGAGTGATATATTAGCATGCCAGAAATATCCACAGATGCTCTGCCTCCAGCAGCAAATGTCTCAAAGGGGTAGACGCTGATATTCCAAAAGAATACTGGTTGTACACGTGCCACACTCTTCCTCTCATAAGTCCTTCCTTGACGGTTGCTAAATTATATCCAGATTCATGCAACCTTGGTCATGTTGTTTCATGAACACCGTTTCTTCGATAAGCATTCGTTCTTATATGGTATTCACAACGTCTGCCTTGTTTAAAATGATTCTTGCTGCTATTGCTTTTAAAACACACAAACACACACACACAAAACAAAAACAAACTTCATTCTCACACTCCTGCAGATAATAGAGTGTAAACCAAGCGTCCACACTTCAAATTCAGAGGAACTCACAGACAAATGTGGACGCTTGATGTACACTCAAGCCATAACAAGTTAATTTTGAACCTTGCGCAATACAGAATGAGAAGCAAGTAAGTAAATTTTATCCCACCAGGATATCACACAAAGCGATAAACACCCGGTGACACAAAGTGCTACTACTCGGTTGAAAATCGCCCGTTTAGAGATCACGGAAAACCCGTTCAACCGTTCTCTTATATTACGGCTCCCGGCATTAGCCAGGGTGGGGCTTAAAAAAAAGAAAAACTGCATCCCACACGGGGACGATTTAGTTACAAACAGAATGAGAATCGGACACAGTGATGCACTTCGGATATCATTTTCCAGCGATCCGCTTCAGAACTGCAGTGATTCCTTCACTTTCACACCTACGATCCTCTTCAGAACTGCAGTGATCCCTTCACTTTCTCACCTACGATCCGCTTCAGAACTGCAGTGATTCCTTCACCTTCACACCTACGATCCTCTTCAGAACTGCAGTGATTCCTTCACTTTCACACCTACGATCCGCTTCAGAACTGCACTGATTCCTTCACTTTCACACCTACGATGCGCTTCAGAACTGCAATGATTCCTTCACTTTCACACCTACGATCCGCTTCAGAACTGCAGTGATTCCTTCACTTTCACACCTACGATCCGCTTCAGAACTGCAGTGATTCCTTCACTTTCACACCTACGATCCGCTTCAGAACTGCAGTGATTCCTTCGCTTTCACACCTACGATCCGCTTCAGAACTGCATTCATTCCTTCACTTTCACACCTACGATCCGCTTCAGAACTGCAGTGATTCCTTCACTTTCACACCTGCGATCCGCTTCAGAACTGCAGTGATTCCTTCACTTTCACACCTACGATTCGCTTCAGAACTGCAATGATTGCTTCGCTTTCACACCTACGATCCGCTTCAGAACTGCATTCATTCCTTCACTTTCACACTTACGATCCGCTTCAGAACTGCAGTGATTCCTTCACTTTCACACCTACGATCCGCTTCAGAACTGCATTCATTCCTTCACTTTCACACCTACAATCCGCTTCAGAACTGCAATGATTTCTTCGCTTTCACACCTACGATCCGCTTCAGAACTGCAATGATTTCTTCACTTTCATACCCAAATGTGAAGTTAAAGAATGAAAATCTCACAAGACCAAAGTCCAGCAGTGAACGACAAGTAGAACTATTTCCCTGGAGTTTACTACCTGTGAACGCGAAAAAGAAGAAAACAAAAATAGTCTCACTTTGTTCAACAACGACCTTTTTTCCCCAGTTCAGCTGAGGAAAAAAAAATGTCCACCTGTTGCATCGGTCTCTCGTTGAAAACCGTGGTATTTATGATGTGTCCATGCACATTTTAAGGGGCACAATTTGCAATCTTTTAACGGTAAAGATATTTTAGATTGTGTCCCCTGTATAATGTTCCGTTTTAAACCAGCCTCTAGGAAATGGGTACCAGAGTTGAAACTCTGGGGTAAATGGAGGAACGTCGCTGTAGCTACAGAGTTACGTGCGAACAGCGACACAGGCGGACAATTCTTATCAGCTGTCCGTACTGGTGGCAGAGCACTTATGGTTTATAACCGTGTGCAATGACGCTGGTTCACATCTCCCCGACTTTACCTTTACCTCTTGCTGTGGGGCCCGGTAGTCAGCTGTCTGTGATAGTGTATCTTGACAACACTTTGACAAGCAATTTTAA